TCTGCTGTGAGGAAACACAGACAGTTTTTATTTCAAATACTTTCATAAATAAGGTCCAGCGAGGCACATGAACTATAGTTTACTGAGCATACTGTTCACATGACCATGCCTCCAGTATTGTTTTCTGCTTTCTTCTTAGTACCTTGTGATGGATTACTATGTGGGAGGTGACCTGTTGTCCCTACTAAGTAAATTTGCAGATGGATTCCCTCCCCAAATGGCGATCTTTTACCTGGCTGAGATGATAATGGCTGTCAATTCTGTTCACACTTTGGGCTACATACACAGGTGAGTTTATTACTGGTGATGGCAGAGGGTCATGGTATTGTTTCTTGAGTTGCCTTTATGTTTCTCTGTATTTATGTCCTCATCTTCCTCAGGGATATCAAGCCAGACAACATGCTTTTAAATCGATCAGGGCACATCCATCTGGGGGACTTTGGTTCATGTTTGAAGCTCAGAGACGATGGCACAGTAAGTCCTTCCTCTAAATTGTGCTTCTCTCTATAGCCTTTCACGTGGATTGTTGTGTTTAACTAAAACATTTTCTCTTTTTTCTAAGGTGTCCTGTTCTGTTGCAGTGGGGACCCCTGACTACCTTTCTCCTGAAATCCTTGTTGCCCTTGAAGACCATGGTTTATCTTATGGTGTGGAATGTGACTGGTGGTCTATAGGGGCTTGTGCTTACGAAATGTTCTTTGGGCACCCTCCTTTTTATGCTGAGTCTGTGGTTGAAACATACGGAAAGATTCTTCACTATAAAGTAAGGAAAACATTTCATATTATCTGTTGTGCTTCTTCTTTATAGCTTAAAACACAAAAGGCATGTATTCATTTTGATTAGTGGAAACTGGTGGATCAAAACTTCCTGTGAAAATATTCTTCCTTTTCTTGGAAGCACAGACAGGATCTGATTAACATTCTCTTCTATCATATAAGTATATTAGGACATGTTCTCTGCCATTCTGGGATATAGAGATTGTCAATGATAGTTATTATCACTGAGAGAAGGAAATATAACAAGGTGAATTAAAGTTGAACTATGGGCAAAATAAAAAATTTCATATGGTGCTGTCTGTTGGTAGAATTAAGGGCTTTTAACACAGATGGCCAGGGGGTGGTAAAAATAGGCAGCTAAACCTCTGTTTTTCACTTCTGACCACCTAAATTTTATCATTAGAGCCACATGAGGCTCTACACATGGCACAGCCAGAGCAGTTTTAATTTAGCTTTAGAGTTTAACAGGTGGCATTATCTGCCAGACTCGCCCTGAAGAAAATGAATTATATCAAATTTATAATTCAGCACTTATATTGATGGCAAGCTTGCAAAATATTTGGTTTTTATGATTAATCATAATTAATATTAAAATGTTTGAATGGTCACTTTAAGCCGATGATAATATTTATTTCTTCAGTAAAATAAGCTGAGACAGTTAAACTGAGACAGCTGAACTAGTTATCCAGCTGATAGCTGAGTATTCTATTATAAGGTATAGCTGGTTACAGGACTCTGGTGGAATATGACAAGGGTGTTAGAAGTGGCTCATAATAGAACAAGTATTACATTATGTATTTTAATAGTATCTGTCTGTATTTCGCTTATGATTTAGAAGTTGGTAATATTGTTACATATGTAGATTAGTGGTTATACATTATTGTGATGTTGTAAAGATGCGTTCTTAATTTATATTATCATTTAAATATGAGTAGCTGATGTTACATCACCAGCTTATTATGAACATCACATATGTACCTGTCAATCAAATGGCCATATATGTGGGCTTGTAGTTTTCAATGAACTACCACGGCGCTGTGGAGCGCCGTGGTAGCTCATTGAAGCTTCCTGTCAGAATATCTGCTTGCTCATACATCCCGTATGGCAAGCACATATTCTGACAGATCTGCATGAGACCTGCATGGCATCAGCAATTTACTGGTCGCTGGTGCAATTCTTTCCAGGATCCTGTAGACAAAAATAATAAATGCACATTTTTTTACCCGCAAAAAATGTGCATTTATTATTTTTGTCCAAAAGGTGAACTTATCCTTTAAATACACAGATTCTTAGGGTAAGTTAATGCAGATAAGGCACTAAGTGAGTTTAATTACCATCTTATTCAGCCACAGAACCTGTGTAATTAATATCCGTTTGGTTTTAAAGGGATGGTGGCAACCCTACTATGTACACCAGTTTAATAGCAACAGTTTTTTTTTTGGGGGGGGGGATTGGGGTTTAAACCAAATTACATTCCCAGCAGTGTTATATGATTTGTCCAATCCTTGTAACTGTCACTTTTGCTGGACAGCTTTGTCAACTTGTAAATATGGAGAAAATATATTTACAGACATGCAAAAAAAAAAAAATACTGAATACTAATATTTCAGATATTAACCTGGTACTATTATCCTAATATATTATTTTTCGCTATAGCAGCCCATAAGGCCCCATTCACATTTGCAAATAGAACCACTTGAGATTAGAAGCAGGAGACCCAGCGGGGGTTCTAAAGATTAGCTGCGGGCAGGAATCCCCATTAAAAGTAATGGGAGGCAGACAGCTCCTGAAGCTTTTTGTGGATGCTCACATGAAATAGCTCATGGAGAAATTACCTGTAAATGATTGGCTGTGGATGCGGACTACCTGTGTCCAAGGTTGAGTATTCACAAGTAATCACTGCTTGAGCGATTGCATGTGAATAGCTGCGGGAGCTGTAAGCCTCTTGATGTTTTTAATGGGGCTTCCCACCTGCAGCTAATCGCAGGAATCGCTGGGTCTCCTGCATCTAATCACAAAGGGCCCCATTCGCAAGTGTGAATGAAGCCTAAAGTCTCCACTGTTGTGTGAATAAATTGGATAGTTCTTTAACCCTGCTGGTCAAATTTTAAGGATATGCAAAGAGATTTAATTAGATGGAGTTGGGAATCCCTGGCCTATAGAATCTGAGACTTGTGTTAGATATCCCGAGATCACCCTATCACCCGATGACTAGATCACTGATAGACAAAGATTTTTCAGATGGTGTGACCTGGTGTACTCAGGCAAAGCCAGGGCAGACACTATAGACTGTGTCAATGGTATGAACTTTGAGTCTTTAACTGGAGAGTATCTTTAAATATGACTTTTTCCTTTTTAAATAGCACTCTTTTATCACTATATGGTCAGTTTATCTCAAATATGTAAAACTGGGCAGTGAAATTGGAACATACAAGAAACCACAGTGGAGGTAATTAGCCAGGGACATTGGATTTTTCCTATGACAAGACCAGAATTTATTACTTCTGTGTACAGACAGTGACAGATGATTTTCTTACTTAAGCCTTTAAATTTTTGTCTTTCTTTTTTTTTTTCTTGTCTAAGGAGCACTTTAACTTCCCCTCCTCAGTCAGTGGTATACCACCTGAGGCTTTAAACTTCATCTCATCAATCATCTGTGAGCGGGAAAACCGTTTGGGCATTGGTGGACTCCAGGATTTCCAGATGCATCCACTTTTTGCTGACATTGACTGGGAGGGTCTTAGGGACTGCATGCCACCTTTTGTTCCCGAGTCAGGGGGAGCCACAGACACCTCCAATTTTGATATTGTAGAAGATCAGCTTTCAGAAATGGTCAGCGGTGGAGGCGTAAGTATGGGTATGACTTATCACTCTCTGATCAATTTAAGGGGTTAGTTCACCCTCAGCTGTAATGAAAGAATTAAATAAAGTGTGCTTGGCTTAAATCCCACTGGGGAGTCTGGCTATGAGATCTCTGTACTTGAAATCCTATATCCACCTCACTAGTCACAGCCATTGTGAAAAGATCTTACTGCATTTTTCATTTGTGTTAGGCCCCTTGAACGCAGTCGGACCACATGTCCGTTGTTCATCCATCAGTTGATGGATAAAAAATGGACAGCAATGTATTTTTGTGGACCAATGGATGTGAACAGATAATCGTCCGTTTACTATCTGTTTATATCCATTCCATTTATGTCCATTTTTAGACAAGAAACATTTTTCGTTTATACTTTTGTCACCTCTGATTGGTCTCTGCAAAGCAAAAACAGTTGCAAAAACGGATGTAGACCGATGTAAACTGGTGTAAACTGAGCTGAACTAAACACTGACATAACAAAACTGAATCTGGTGATGCCTGTGTATTATTGCGTACACAGCAGGAGATGTGAGGCTTCACAACACAGCAGGGTGTGTGTAAAGCTGGGCACTCCAGAGCAACAGTCTCAGCATCAGCATCCATGAGAGCTACTGTGGGGGCCTAAAGGGAACAATCAGGTTTACATTTCATTGTATGGAAAAAGCTAACACAAGGATTCTGCCTGGTCACTATTTACCAACAACTCCCAGTTTGTGCATATTTTTTTGTTCAAGGTATAATGAATCAACCCCAAAGTGTTATTATATGGATCAACTGATTGATCTTAAAGTGGAACTACAGTGTATGTGAGCACCATATTTTATTTTATTTTTTCAAAGCAACCCCCCCCCCATCCAAACATACTTCCATGCTTTCTTTTGCTGAGAAATAACTTAAAAATACACCCCCTAGTATTTCTGGCCATGGCCATCCTGAGGTAAGGGCAGATGATTAATGCAGCAATTACTTCCTGGAATCCATCTTTCCTTAGCTCAGGCTTGCAGACAGAAGGGTGTGCTTAGCTGAGAAAACCACTCCTCCCCTTCTGAAGACTCCTGGGATGTATGCCTAGACATGGAAACCAGGAAGTAACTGAAGAAATGTAAAATGCCATTTAAAACAAGTAAATATAATACTGTATACGTTCCTATCTATTTACTAATGCTAGCATCATAAGGATTCAAAATAGTCATTGTTGATTGAGAGAGTGAAGTTCAACTTTAACCGCCTCCCGCCCACCATATAGTACAATGACGGGTGCAAGGCGGTTCTCTCGTTCTGGGAGGACGTCATATGACATCCTCTCATTCTAACCGCGCATGCGCAGCTCCTGCAGCGTGCGGTATGCTGTGTCCCTCAGACACAGCGGATCACTGATCAATGGAAAGAGCTGAAGATGTCGGCTCAAAAATGTGATCAGCTGTGTCCAATCACAGCTGATCGCATGTAAACACGGAAATGCCGGTTATCAGCATTTCTCTCCTCACGAGCTGTCACGCTGACAGCTCGAGAGGAGAGGTGAGCCGGTAATCGGCATCCCTCAGAGAGAACATGTACACTGAACATCAGAGCACTGATGATCAGTGTGCCCTGATGATCTGTGTAGCCCCAGCATTGCCACCTGTTAGTGTCCATCAGTGCCAGATCTCAGTGCAAATCCATGCCACCTGCCAGTGCCCATCAGTGCCACATCAATGCCACATTTCAGTGCCTACCATTGCACATCAATGCCACATATCAGTGCCCATCTGAGCTGCCTTTCAGAGTCACCCATCAGTGCCAGTCAGTGCCACCTATCAGTGCTGCCAATCAGTGCCACCTATCAGTGCCAGTCAGTGCCACCTATCAGTGCCAGTCAGTGCCGCCTATCAGTGCCCGTCAGTGCTGCCTATCAGTACCACCTAACAGTGCCAGTCAGTGCCGCCTATCAGTGCCCATCAGTGCTGCCTATCGGTGCTGCCTAACAGTGCCAGTCAGTGCTGCCTATCAGTGCCAGTCAGTGCCGCCTGTCAATGCCACCTATCCGAGCCCCCTATCAGTGCCATATATGAGTGCTGCCTTTCAGTGCCCATCAGTGCCACCTACCAGTGCCTCCTCATCAGTGCCCATCAGTGCCACCTATCAGTGTCCATCAGTGCAGCCTATCAGTGCCCATCAGTGCAGCCTCATTAGCGCACATCAGTGAAGGAGAAAATTCACTTATTTACAAAATTGTATAACAAAAACTAAGAAAAAAACTTTTTTTTCAACATTTTCAGTGGTTTTTTGATTTGTTTAAGAAAAAATAAAAAACCCAGAGGTGATTAAATACCACCAAAATAAAGCTCTATCTGTCACAAAAAAATGATAAAAATGTCATATGGGTACAGTGTTGCATGACTGCGCAATTGTCATTTAAAGTGCAACAGCGCTGAAAGCTGGATATTGGCCTGGGCAGGAAGGGGGTATAAGTGCAGGCTAGTGGTTAAAGAAATATAGGGAAGCTGGAAATGTTATTCCAAGGGCCCAGTCAGGAAGAAACTGTTACTCACCCTGTAAAGATTTGGAAATTAAATTGAATCAATGAGGTTGACCCCCGCAAAGAGACCTGTTTGTGCTACTGGTCACGGTCCCTGAGCAGTCACCCCAGACCTTTAATGAGCTCAACCCCCAAAAATGTTGAAACCATTTGGCAACTTGTGCATGATGATCATCGGAGAACAATCCACAACATTGCTGCCATTGTCGGTGTGTCATATGGAACAGTCCAGGCAATCGACGCATGTGATTTTAACATGTGCCTTGTTGCTGCCAAGTTCATCCCCAGGCTGCTGACCCAGGAGCAAAAGGAACACTGGGTCAAAGTCTTCCAAGATGGCAGGCATAATGTCAAGATCATTACCAGTTAGAAACCTGGGTGTATGGGTTTCACGTAGAATTTCATTTGCTCTTTGTTCTAACATGCTGTCCATGATGAAATAGCAGTCCATGATGAAGTCTTCCAAGATGGCAGGCATAATGTCAAGATCATTACCAGTTAGAAACTTGGGTGTATGGGTTTCATGTAGAATTTAATTTGCTCTTTGTTCTAACATGCTGTCCATGATGAAATAGCAGACGTGGTAATGCTCATGGTCAGAATAGCGCCAGCTGCACAGCTCCCGATGTACACAAGATGATGTCACAGTCGGTGCTCCCTGTGACTGTGCATGCAACCTTGTGCTGCCATCTGTTGGGGTGTTACAAAACTAGTCTCAAAATCTTTTGATACCACCTTGTACCATGCAAAATCCCCTGGAGTTTATATATATCAATGCAGCATTAAGCAGCAATCAAATGGCCATTATGGGTGATTTCTACCCCTAATGATGGTAACCTGATAGTGTATGCCTCAGTCTGAAAGTCATGTTGGGTAGTTTTTTGCTTTCATTGAAATTGCTGGAATAAGACTTTGGGCATCTAATATACGTGTGTGGTTGTGATGAGAATTCTAGTTGCCTTCAATTGCCTTATACATGCAGTCCCACATAATTCACAATCTAATATTTCCAATTTTTACAGAAATCCTTGGAAATAAAATGTTACATGATAATTGATTTACATTTTTGTTATCCTTAGGGGCTGTAGAGTAATGACAAACAGGCTGCATTCTGTCCTGAGTTGTCAGTTCACTGCCAATGGCCTGTAGACACTTTTACACACAGGAATTGCGGTCTGCTGCTTTGAAGCCATAAAGCAGACTAATGAACTTACTGCATTCTTCTGCATGTTATTATTGCCATGGTCATAGCTGGATTAATTGTACCTTGAGTCTTGGGCTGTTTTCAGTTCATGAGCCACCCTCCAGTTTAATGAGATCATGTATTAGAGTCATTGTAAACAGACATTTGTGCTTTATATCGTATATGGTTTGTAAAACATTTCTGCAAGATTTGAAAATCATTATTTGAATTTTAAATTGTATCTGGTGCAGTGATAAGCTCTATTCAAATCACTCATATAATGGTGGCAGATATTGAAATAATGTTTTCAGGTACAGGGAATGTGCATATTCATTGTTTAAGATTGAATGATAATCTTAAATGAAAATGTTTATGCCTTGTACAGATATGAGAAAACTGGATGAAAAAAAAATGATTTCTGAGTCATCGCCCAATAATCTGATCATTGGTAGTTTTGAAGAGCAGATCACTACAGTTCATGCCAAAATATTTAAAGGGACAAGCTTGAAAAATGTTCTTGTAAGATACGTACAAGAATTTTTGTAACTTTAGTAACCTGTTGCAAATAAAAAAAAACGAAAGATCATTTGCCCGACATTCTCATTGTGGGTACAAGGCTTTATTCAGAGCAATACAAAGGCAGCCATTATGGAACACCTTGGTCCAGTATGAAAAGCACTGAAATGTAGATTTTTTTTTTTTTAGTATCCCCAATGATCACCCTGGAATCCTAAGCCCTAGGCAGCTACCTGTGTTTTTTTTTTCTCAACAAGAGTGGAGTTATAGTTTACAAAAAAATTAGATAATGGTCTTCAACCAGTAGGTGGATCATAATGGTGGATTTTTATGATCCACCACTGGTTGAAGACCATTATCTAATTTTTTGTTGAGAAAAAACAATAGCACTTTGGGTGATCTATGTGCATTGCAAGGATTTTAAGAAACTTTATTGCAGATTCCTACCATTTTTTGTAAAAAGAAAAAAACGTTTGTTCCACTATGTCCTTGAAAGACTATAATGACATTTATTGTTTTTTTAGGAGACCATCTCAGATGTTGGGGACAGCTCCCCTCTCGGAGTCAACCTCCCCTTTGTCGGCTACTCATATACATTCAGGTGAGCACAGCCACTTAAATACAGATGTTTCTGAAAAGATCTCATCACACATTTATGCATGCCAGTGAAAATAGACATGTTATGCTGGATACATGCTACATCTGTTTTTTCTAGGGAGGACAGCAGGGAACATGTTTGGGGAAACATGAAAAAACATCTGTGAATGTAAATCAGAATTAACATCAGACCATCAAAAAATGAGCCCTACAGATGACTTGGTGAGTACTTTCATGATCTGCTGTATTAAAATATGTAATACTTAATAAAATATGTAGTACTTAATAAATTAATATCTAATATACATAATTCCCATACATGTATATGGTCACTACTTGCTCAGTACTTCCAACACAGTGATTGTACTTTACTGCTTCTCTTATCTCTACTGACAGAATTCTGTCAACAAACTTGCAGAGAAAACAGTTTGCTCTGCAGGTGGCTTGCACTGTAAATTATTTTTTTGTCAGTCATTCAGTAAGGAAGTGAAGTGCTCTTCTTTTTATGGAGGGCTATCCTACATTTCTATATAATGGAACTGAAATATGGCCCAGAATGCAGTTAAAATGCTGTTTCTTTAAGAAACTGGTGCTGCTTCACCCATGACTGCACAGCACAATGCCATAACCATGTACCTAATGTTCTTAATTTCAGACTTTACTAGTGTCTAATGGGGCCTTGGATGATGACGTTTATCCACAATGGGGCAGGTTTTTTCTTTCTCTTCCTGAGGTTGACAGAAAAACTTAAATGAGGAATCTTAGGGGTCTGTTTAACAAAAAAAAAAAAAAACTGATGAATGTCACATGCATTCACCCAGCTATCAAAAATTCTGACCGTATTTTGCTTAAAGTGGTTCTAAACCAAAAAGAAAACTTGTATTATATTGCAGTTTACCAATAGTTAGATGTGATGGCTGCATTAGTTTTCTTTCCTTTATTTTTACCTGATAATCAGGCTAGTAAAACTTATTTTTCAACAGAATAAGCTGTCCTGCAGATGTAGCAGTTACAGGGTTGAGACAAATTATTTTCTACTGACAAGGGTGCTTACAATGTCAGCTTTATTTATTTACGTAAAACCTTTATCCCAAAAGGAAAGAAAACGTTTGCTATAGCTGCTTATAAAGTGTTAGCTGGAGTTCAGCTTCAATTTTTTAGTGTATTTTAATCTGCTAGTCCATCTAACTTTTCCCTTCCCCCAGACTTACAATTCTGCTGTCCAAAGGTGTCCCTTTGCTCCTTCGTCCAGAGTTTATGCACTGTAACACAAGAGGTGTGTTACTGGCCAGATCACCAGGTGAAGACAGGGGAAAAAGCCTAAAAAAAAAGAAAACAAATGCAGCAACCACATCTAAAGATTGGTAAGCTGCAATAAATTACATTTTTGGATTTGGGTGTAATACCTCTTTAATATGTTGATTTTTTATGATCATCGGCTCCATCTATTGGCCATAATGTGCTTTATTTCCTAAAATACCTCAGTCAGGAAAATACCACATTATGACCACTAAATGTAGCTGACGATTATAGGAAATCTGCATATTAAGCAAAATATAATCAGAATTGGTGATGGCTAAGTGAATATTTGTGGCATTTATCCTCTACATTCTTTTATAAATGGACCCATTTGTGTCTAAGAACTTACTGAAGCTTACTGTTAGTCTCTTTTTATTTCTGTATGTTTTATTAACCTAGTGTAGCCCTCTTTTTTTTGGGAGGGGGTTATGAGAAATGGCATTCCCTAAACAGGATATTGTGCCAAACCTCTGGGTAGATAAGAGAGCCAGAACCTTTGCTAAGTGGAAGAGTGGATTTGTTAATGAAGTTGTCAGTGCCTCCACCCAGAGGGGATTCCCTTCTGGAAAAATAATCAGTAATCTAAACAAAGTAATTAAAAGCAGAAGAACTACTGCAACCAGCATACTGTATAACATTAACCATAAGCATATAAATGCACACCAGTATAGACATAATACAAGCTTTATGTAAAAAGAGATTAATTATTATTTATTTTTGTTATTATACAGGATTTATATAGCGCCAA